AATCATCATTCTACCTTTGTTAATATATCACATTACAAGAACATTTTCTAATAATCATTTGAGGCCTCTGTAACATAATGTTGGTTTGAAAATGTTCCTCATTTGATATCATGGAACATAATCTGTGTTGAAATAAAATCTTTAAAAACATTCTTTGGTTAAAACAATCTCTTTTAAAAAAAGATAGAAATTTGTAGGTTATATCATCCAATGTTGTGGAAATGTTCCCTGTCAGCTGGGATGATACAATAATCATATACTCTCTAAACTTACACTTCCAGCTGTATTTTTATCGTTATTTATTCGTATGCATTGTTAATATTTTCAGTTTGCACTGAACTGGGAGAACAACATTTTGTTTTCACATATGCAAATACACAAGAAATGACAATAAACAAGTCTTCCATCTAGAGCTTTAATCTCTCTTTTCAGGCATTAGGAACATATCCAGTGAACATGACGAAGACTCAGAGGATCCTGCTCTCATGGTGGTTCCTGGATCCTCAAAGTCTATGTCCGGAGTCAGCCTGTACAAAGACTTCGTAGGCTGCCTACCTTTCCATCTGTCCGTGAGGATATTGGGCAAGTCAACACATAAATAACACGAGTCAGGTTGTGTTTGGCAATATGGTCATTTCCACTGAGTCTTGCTTGTTGCTGTGCTGGATCAGCTCTGTAGTGTGAAGTTCTGAGACACTGACATGTCCTTAAACTGACGATATAAAGCAACTGAGCTCGGCTAATGGTGCCATAGGGATGTCGCTTAATTACTCGAGAATGCTTTTGTTAAATCCATCCCACCCAAGCGGGTAGCCCTTGGATATGAGAACAACAAAGTCCTGCCAAGCAAAGCATTGTGAGTCTGCAGACTAAAATTAAAGGCATCCAGGCAATTTAACGCGCAGTGACAAAATGTAAAAATGTTGGACTCTTATTGTGCTTCGGCATGCTGCTTGTGTTAATTCAATTCAATTCAATTCAATTCAATTTTACTTGTATAGCGCATATTTACAACAACAGTCATCTCATAGCGCTTCACAAAGGCAGAGACAGAAACACCCAACAATCCAAAACATCTGGATTCCCTATAAGCTTCAGCAGTCCGCAACAGTGGGAAGGAACTGAAAAGTGAAAAGTTTTATTGTTACAGATACATGCAAACGTCATTGTGCACATGTGTGTCTCCTACCAGGTCTGTTAGAGGAGGACGCTCTGGAATGCTGCAAGAAGGTTTGTCGGTACTGGCAGCACCTTGCACAGCAAACCATGGAGGAAATCAAGTTCAGACGGACTTTGCAGTCTCAGATTCAGGCCATGACGAAGGTTGAACATTTGGATGATTTATCAGTATTCATATTTGCTGGAGTTTTTGGTGATAAGGATGAAAATAAATCAGATTAGATCAGAAATGCAGCTTGGCTTCTAACCACGTGTACAAAAGCAGCAATAAAAAGCACATGTACAAGTGGAGATAAATTATGGTTGAACGGTATAATCAGTGTGAAAAGGATAAACAGTATTAATGCTATGAGATATATGCTGTATATACACAGGATAAACAGTACAAACAATGGGTAGGATACAAGATGGATGACACATGCAGTATAAACAGTATAAAACATTATGACTTACAACATATAGCATTATAAATCACAGCTTTTTTAATGCTTTGGGGGGTGAAGATTAACAATAACATTATTTTAGGTGTAATTTTGTTACAATATAATAATTTGGACGAATAAAAATGACAATAAGTGATGATTTTTTTTCTGTCGTAGAGGCGCAGCACAGTAGTCAATCCTACTTATGCCAACTTTGTTGAAGTTCTGGTTCCCATGAGGGACGGTGAGACAGAGGATATTTATTCTACTGATCAAAAGGTGAATAAATTAAAAACATTGCACCACAGCTGTTCCATTAGAAATATATATCACACCTAAACTGATCTTGCCTTTCTTTGGTTTGACAGGAGAAGCCATTTGCAGCTGCGTATTCCAAAACCAAAACCAAAACAGTGCAAATGGAAGAGAGGAATGTTTATTGTTGTGCATATTTTACCAAAGTGCTGCTGAGCAAGTTAGTGTTTTTTTTGTGTTGCGTAGCTTATTTCCTGCACACTGAAATGGAAAACCTTTGTCCTCAAGCAGCGGTAACGAAGAGGTGGTCGTGTGTTTGGCAGGAAAGACCCTCACCGGGTGCTGGACTACAGAGGAGGATCGCTCATGGCCACCGGCTCAAAGGACCATTTGGTGCATCACATTTATGTGGGATCAGAAACGAAAACCGTGGCGACGATGAGGGGACACGTTAACAGCGTTCGGGCGGTGCTGCTCTGCGAGGACAGAGGTCTGGTGATAACCGGAAGCTATGACCAAAGTATCAGGTGAGGAAGAGCTGCAGCGTATCCTCACATTACCCAGTTTATGATGAGAATTTAGGGAAAGATGATAATACATTCTCCTTTGTGTTCATTTATCCCTGCAGGTGCTGGAGTCTGAAGACGGACAGGTGTGAGATGGTGCTGTACGGTCACACTGGCACCATCAACTGCCTGGATCTTCATGACGATAGACTTGTATCAGGATCCAAGGATTCTTTAGTCAAAGGTGAGCAGCCTTCTGAAGGATGTACACAGAGTTCCATCTACACAATATTACCACACTTCTCACTTGCTTTTAGTGCTACATCACTGCCAGCTCCATTTTCCTATTCAGAAAACAGCCACGAGTATCTTATTCCAAGAAGCAGGTCTTCTGTGTTCTCTGGAAAGTTGAATAACTTGTTCTAAGCAAACTTATCCCACAAAGATGCTTCTTAAAACAAGCGTCAGGTGTGTGTAAGCCTGTAAATCTTAAATTCAGCTCCTACTGAGTCTGTAAACAGTTTATGTTTTTAAAGAAATAGGTCACGGCTGAGATTTATTTTTTTGTGCATTCACAGTATTGTCTCATCTTTTGTTGTAGATGTTTATGCAGAAACAGAATGTTTCTTGCCTTACAACAACAACAACAAAAAAATAGTTTTACCAGAATTTTTTTAATATATATTTACTCCCAGTTGTACATTTTACTTAGCTCTTTTCAATCTGGGTTCCCTGCATTGTTCCCATGCTGGATGGATTCTAATTTAATACAACTGAACACAGATATGACTGAAATCCAACAGTACCACTTCTCACCTTGACCCACCTACAATTAGCACTAAATAAGAAATGTGGAAGATGTTTTTGATCAATTCCTCAACTTCAACCAGCATTTTAACAGTGTTCTTCAGTCCCACTATTTACAAATCAGAAATATTCAAACCAGTGCTCCCCAAAAACATGGCTGAACAACTTATCCACATTTTTTACAAACTTTTAAATCTCTTATTCTGCACTTGGAGCCCTAAAATCAAACTCTCTGATAAAAATTCAACTGTCCAGGCCTAAAGCCAGGGAAAACCACGCTGTTACAGAAATCAGAACACATGAGTAAGTGTCTCAGTTTAAAAGGCTGTTTGAAACTCACCTGTACAGATTACTATTTGTATAATACGCCTTTTATAATGTTTTATTGATGCACTTTTTGAATCATCTTCTTCCTGTTCTTTTCCATAAAGCACCATGGAACTCAGCATCACTAACATCACAATGTGACTTATCTGAAATTTATGTTGAAAAACTTGTTGACTCGTTCTCTATTGGCATGTGTAAGTAAACTTAAATGAACCTATTTTGCCAGTGTGGAGTCTGCACACCGGGAAGCAATTTGAGGACTTTAATTTCAAACACGTCAGCCCCGTCCAGTGTGTAAAGATCAGCAAGACAACCGTCTATAGCAGCTGTGTTCAGGGCCTGGTCAAAATATGGAGCATGGAAAATGCGTCACTGCTCAGGGTGAGAATATTTTTTGGAGTGTAAACACATACAGATGGGTGACAAATTAAAGGGAAAAGCCTAATGCTTGACCCCTAAAGTGAAGGAATTTGGTGGCTCTTTCATACAGTTGAGAGCATTTTGCTGGCATGGTTTAGGTCCACTTTGAGCTAAAAGGTCGCTGAAAATCAGTACAAAGATGAGAGTAGTCTCTTCCAGGATGACATTGTCTCCATCCGTAGGGCACTGAGGGGTCACTGCATGGTTTGATGAAATTGAAAATGACAGGAATTATAAACCATGGCCTTCACAGTCACTAGATCTCGACCCAACTGACCATCTGTGAAAGATTTTGGACTTGCGTCTTAGATGGCGCTCTTCACCACCATCATCAAAATACCAAATGATGGAATATTTTTGGAGGAATGGTGCTCCAGACACTTGGAGAATTTATGGCATGGAGCACTGAAGATGTGAACATTACTAAGGCTTAATGTTGGTTTTTCCTTTAATTTGTCACCTCTCTGTATGTGTTTTATGTTTAAGTGTGTGCCTTATGCAGTTGATCAAACATTTCCCTTTGTTCATAAATTCCTAATTTTCCGTGCAATGTGCTACCTTTCCTAAGGTGATCACTGCTCACAGCAGCTCAGTGAAGTGCCTGTTCTTTGACGAATGGCACCTTCTATCTGGAGACTCAAGAGGAAAGGTCATGGCGTGGAGCACCAATTGTGATGCGAAAGAATGTCTCATGACCTTCAACCACCCGATGTAAGCAAGAAACCTTTAAAGCCACTATACAAAACTGTCCAGAAAGTTCATTCATTCAGCATTTTAAATTTGGTCACATAGGTTTATAGTGTCTTCTGACTTTTCTGCAGGGAGGTAAAATCTCTGAGCCTCTCCTACCTCCGTGTTGTTACCGGCTGTGTGGATGGAAAGATTTGCATATTTAATTTCCTCACTGGAGGCTGTTTGAAAGAAATCACTGCAGAGACTGAAACAGGCCAAATACTGTCCCTGCATTTCAATGAGAACAGGTAAGTCAGATGCGCTCTCATGAAAGTGTCATTTACTCTTGTGTTGTGGTGATACTCCAGTAATCGGCATCACATTTTGTCTCACTGTCCTCCTTTAGCATATTAGTGAACACAACATCCAGTGTGAAGCTCTACCAGTTTGCCAAAGTGTTCTGGGATTACGCAGATTCAGCTCCAAGGGACCGGGATGATTTGGTGTCTCAGGATGCTTTAGTTTCTGAGAAATCTGCTGCTTTGCTCAGAAGGTTTCGTTTTACCTCTGTCGGGGCAGATGACACAGCACAGGTGTCTTCAACAACCCAAAAGATTTATGGCTGTTACAGCATGAAACCAGAAAGAGCTGAGCTGCTTTACCAGACCTGCTTCCCCACCAGACGTCAAACACAAGGTAAGAAATCTCAGATGTACAGCTGGGAGCAAAAGTTTACAGACACTTGTAAAGCCCGTGTATATCATAGACGTCTTGAGTTTCCATTGACTTTTCCAATGATTTCAGTAACTCTTTTGTGCGAAGGAATCATTAAAACACATGCATCATAAAAAAACAATCGTGTATTTTGGTTCTTTTGTAGATTTATTATACGTCTTACGTCAAATTTGACAACACCTGCTGGCTCAAAAGTATACATACACCAGCTTGAAAGATGTAGAAAGTTGTGTTAATCAAATTTGACTAATGACATGGCCTCTTAACTTCTTATGAGTGTTTATGATTGACTACAGCTGGTGAATTTAAGTGGAGCCCATTTCATACACTCAGCCACAAACAGTGGGAAAATCTGATCCATCCATTATCTATACACTGCTTAATCCTCACTAGGGTCGCGGGGGGGCTGGAGTCTATCCCAGCCGACTTAGGGCGAAGGCAGGGGACACCCTGGACAGGTCGCCAGTCCATCGCAGGGCCACACTTAGAGACAGACAACCAAGCACACTCACATTCACACCTACAGACAATTTAGAATCACCAATTAACCTCAACATGTTTTTGGACCTTGTGGGAGGAAGGAACCTGAAGAGAACCCACGCTGCACGGTGGAGAACATGCAAACTCCACGCAGAAAGACTCCGGTGCCCTCACCGGGACGCGAACCGGCAACCTTCTTGCTGCGAGACAACAGTGCTACCAACTGCACCACCCTACAGCCCTCAGCAAAGATCTGAAAAAGCAAATCACTGGCTTGAACAAGTCAAGAAAGTCACATGGGGCCATTTCAAAGATCCCAAAACTGTCTGTGCAAACAATTGTTTGTCAGTATAAAGTGCATGTTACAGTTGTGACACACAATCACAAAGGAAACACAAACTGTCACCTGCTGCTGAGAGACAATTGGTCATGCATCCTAAGGTTCAACTTCATCGACTGAAGTTTCCTGCTGATCACATGGACAAAGAAAAGGCCTTCTGGAGGAAAGGTCAGCAGACAGATGAAACAAAAATGTAGCAATCTAACCACACAATGACCAGAAATATGTTTAGAGGAGACAAGGTGAGGCCTTTAACCCCAAGAACACCCAACCTACTGTCAAGCACGGTGATGGCAGTACTATGTTTACACAAAGTAAACTGAATAACGATGAAGGAGAATTATCTCCACATTCTTCAGGAAAATCTAAAATCATCAGCCAGAAGGTTGGCTCTTGGATACAGTTGTGTGTTCCAGCAAGACAATCACACACATCAAATGTGGTAAAGAAACATGAAATCGGGATAGAGTTTGGCAAGGCAAAACCCTAAGTCCTAAATTGAGAGTTGTAGGAATTATTGGAAACTCAAGACCACCATGATATACATGGTCTTTGCATGTGTATGTAAACTTTTGTTAACCACCATGTATCATATTAGAAATGTGCTCTAAAGCCAGTTGATTCTTGTTGTAAGTGAAGCTTTCCCTTTACAGCCAGGGTGCACTGTGAGACTGTGAAACCGTCAGTGATGCTAAGTGAGAAGGCAGCAAGTGAACGGATGAAGAAGAGGGGTCCTCATCATCCCCTGACTCGAGACTGCCTCCTCCTCAGGGTGAATGCCATCCAGAAGGCACGGTGCACGGATGAAGCTAGCGTTAACATGGAGAGAAACGCCAGGCTGAGAGATTCATGGGGTCCTAATACAACTCTCCGGAAACAGAGTCCGTGTCCACCACAGCACAAGGACGATGTTCGTCACAGGCTGGTCAAGATCTGTGAGTCCCAAGTCCCAACTGTGAAGCGATCTGTCAGCCAAAACCTGTCAGCCAGAAATGTTTCCACTGCCCCGGCCACCACGAGGACACACCTTCCACCCATCCAGCAACATTGGCCGATCAAGAGCGTGGATAGATTCGTCAAAAGTGCCACCAACTCCTGATTGCACAAGATCACTATCTAATCCAAAGTGTGGCATGAAAACTAGTCGCAGCTTGGCCCAGGATAAACACATTTACAGAGCAGGGAGTGCTGAGGCTGCCCACAGCGAATTAAAACCAGTGTTTTATGATGCAGTGCCAGTGATCATAATGAATTCTGTCATTGCTGCTCGATCGTTGTTTTGGACTTCATTTATCCAAAGTGTTGTTTCATTAAAGTTACACTAGGGGTCAGTATTGTATCATGTGATTGGTAGCTGGACCAGGACTCTGGACTATGGTACATGAGTTCTGAGTTTGCTATAGGGTTTTCTTTCAGGATTATACTTATTATTGAAGTAGAATTTTATTAAGTGTGTGAACTCTTCCTAATAAGACATGGATTCCACTAAAAACATGATTCATGATTTCTTTTTTTGGAGGTGGAGTGTCTTTAAATTCACGATCACTTTTCTATGCATTTCTATTTTCCTGTATGTTTATCTTAACGAATCACACGTGAAATTAGACTGTTGTTAATGTATGATTCATAGAGGATCATCTCGATTTCACTGATCCGTGATGGTGGAAATTCATAAACTTCAATTACTGCAACTCAAAGCTTAGAAAGAAAAAAAAACAAAACAACTTTTATGATGCCAGCTGTCATAAAAAAAGGAAAACAGATAAACAACTCTAATCCTCAGAGGTGCTAAAGATTAGTTACTTTTCAATAACTTTTTACTGTTATAATTCATATTATTATTAATAGGAATGGTAATAAATAAAAGCTGAATCAAGCACTTTGTAAATGTTGTATCTGCCATTTCCGGTCATGAAAAAGTGAAAAAAGTGAGTTCAGTATTGGTTTAGAGTTTTTCCTATAATTCAAAGTTTAATTTGGTTCTTTAGTTTGATATTTTGTTCTTTATTCTTGTGAGAATTAGGTCTCAAATTCCTACATCAATCAATCTACCTGCTGTTTTTCAAAGACCATCTGCTCATCTGCTAATTTTCCTTCACTTAACTGATCAATCTGAAAAATCCCTTGACCAATAAAGCAACAGATCTTGTGGATTTTAGCCTCTGTGGTCCCCCAGTCAAGACGGAGTGAAGTCATCAGAGTGAGCAGAGTTTGTCCTCTCCACAGAGACCTTTCACCCTGCCACCTGCCCCCTGGGCCTCGGTGCCTTGAGGGCATCATTAGGAACGACGAGGTTGAAGATCAGCCGGAGAAGGTCCTCTGCTTTGACGGCAGCAGCACAACAGCTGGGCACTCGTGAATAACAAAAGGGGTTATGAGGAGAACTGACCGGCTAAGACGTCCCGCTTTGGAGAATCTCTTCTTTCACAAGCGCTCTGCAGCTAATTTGATTTGGTCTGCAGAAAACTGGGGGAGAATGGCGTCTGCCCCCTTCTTTTTTTTTGCTCCTGTGGAGAAGGGAGACAATACGACCCCGTCCTGCTCCTCCAAGCTCAGTTTGGCTTCATCAGGCCGCACAGCCCCCCCATTGTTTCATCAGGTATGGAGTCTCTTGTCCAGGACCGGCAGAGCTGTAGGGGGGGATAACGAGCGTAAAATCAAAGCAAAGTTGAAAAAAAAAAAAAGGGAAAGTCTTCATGCAGGAATGCTCTTAGACCCTCCTGCTCCCCTGAGTAGGTCTGGCTGAGGGAGAGGAGGGTACAGGTTTATTTATGCATGAGAAGCTTGAAAGAAATGACAGTTAAACACCCCCCCACCCCCACCCCCCAACAAAGAAAGAAGGTTTTAAGGGGTTGGAGGTGGGGTAGAAGGCAACAAAAGACGACTCTGTTTGCCCCAGCTGACCTTCCAGCTTCATGGTACTCCACCTCCAAAAGCACATATTTGCATCATAGTCCATTTGTCAAATTAATTTTTCCATTTTTGTCATGCTGTGTCAGCAGCAAAGTTTGAGCTCTCAACTTTATCTCCATTGGCACCGCGTCACCAGACCAGGTCAGTCCAAGTATAGAATGTGATTAACCCAATCCGCATTGCTTTTGTATTTGCATGTAGCTCAGACGGGTGGCTGACTTGCCCTGGAGCCATTCAGATATCACACCGTCACCAGGTTCTAACGATATGAGCGTCAGATGGAGAGGCTCAATGAATATGCAAATGGAACCATTCTCTTGGGGAACTGTATTAAAACTGAGTGTCCCCGTTGTGGGGAAACATGCGGCCGTGTTCTCTGCTGTATCTTGGAAACGGCTGAAGAAAATCGAGGGTTAAATAAGGATATTAAGGAACAAGTTCAAGGCCCAGCAGTGACATCAGCACATGGGAGCTACGACAAGTGCCTTGATCTGAGGACGACTTTAAAATGCCTGGCCAGCACTCGTTCCCCTGTTAGGATTCAGCAAAAGCCAGGCTGGAAACAAGATCCATATGCCTCTTCTGACCTCATTTGCAGATAGAGATCATAAGCGAAAGGGAATACAGCCACAACGAAGGGAGGCAATTAACAGGAACACCATTACTGAGATATGGGACTGATTAACATCCACATTCAGCCAAGCCAAATAGATAAGAGGGGAATCTGATTGCTCATTGACTGGGTCTCGCTTGGTGTCTCCACAGCGGGGCAGGTTCTTGTTTTCTGGAGCTGGACCTCGAGGAGATCAAGAGCTCTTGATTGAGCCAAAAGGAGCAGAGTGAAACCACTGTGACCACACATCAGGAAAGATGATCAAAGAGGCCACTGCCGGCTTCTGGCTCGTCGCGTACGAGACTGAACCCCAGCAGATGATTGTGCAAAGTTGCTGCTCAGCGCAAACACATGTCACAGAGCGCCGCCGTGGTGACACCTGAATCAGCGGATGTAAACGCTCCATCTCACAGAAAGAGCCATTGTGTAATCGGACTGTAAAGAGATATTTTCCCTCCGCTCTTGATTTTGTTTGTGTTTATTTAAATGAGTTTCAACTTCTTCTTTTTTTTCCTTCTCCCTCCTCATTTATGAATCAACTGATTGTGCTGTGAGACCATCTGTTTTTATAGCGTGGCATCTGGAATGTATTTTGATAATTGCAAAGAGATTATTTTCTATCTACGAGAGCGGTTCTATACAAAAGGCCTGCACAAAAACAAACAAAAATAAAATGAAACACACCGTGTGCTTTCACACCAGAGGCTATAGCTGGTGTTATGTTTAAGGTGTCGATGTTTCTGTGCCATTATTCACAGGCAGCGCTGATTTATAGCGCTCGTCCTCTGGGGGGCCAACTATCACTGTTTATAGGAATATTCAACCAATTATCAGCGCTTCTGCAGTTCAAGTCGCATCTCTTGTATGTGTTTTTAAATGACATTTTAGCCTTTGTTTGTATGTCTAGCGTTAACCTAATGAGCTGACAATTATTATCAATTATTAATTATTAACCCTCTGAACCTCCAAACCTGCCAGCTGGTTTGGAAGACATGTTGACTTTTTAAAAAAATTGCCAAAATAACACCGTTTATCAGAGTTAGAAATTGCAAAAACAGCATGAATTGCTGCATTTTCATCACGTCCTTGAACTGGTTGTGTACAAAGTGTGGTTTCATCCGGAGCATTTACCAAATCTAAGCTTAACATCAGGATTTTTACAATATTTCCTTTACAAATTCGCCAAAAATACATCCTTTGCTCTAACCAAAATTGGTAAAAATCTACAAATTTCCATTCCTTGATGCAACTGTGAAGCAATTAGTGGCTCAGCTTTGACCAACAGTTATATGACAAAAAAAAAATAAAATCGGCGACTTTTTGATTAAACTAGGCTGAACTGCAGGCTTTCTTTCAAAAAATATGTAAACTAAACAAAACAAAAAAATTAAAGTGAAACATCTACAGTATTTAGATGCACAAGTTTTTAAAAAATTTTTATTCCAGTATAGATAACCATTATGGATGCTTGAAAAAGTATTGTACATGTTGATTCAAGGTTTGTTCAATTAGTATTTAAAGAAATTAGTGTTTCTCTTTTTAAAAAATATTTATGGCATCATACCTTAGTCATACTGCACAAAAGACATTTTTGAGTTCTCTCTCCTTCAAGTGATGCTCGTTCTGTTTCCATAGAAGCACAGGACTTTATGTTGCAGTGAAAAATGAGCCCACAGTGAGTAAAAATGGAGCCAACAACACCCAGAACTGCTTACAATTGGGAGGATTAAGTAACCTTGTAATTAGTGTAAATTGTTTGTAAAATAACACTGTTCCATTTTTCTCTTTCTACGTGGCTATAATTAAATCCTCGTGAAAGAAATAAGTCTGAAACTGCCATACAGGCTTTACAATCCATCCGAATGAGGAATTTCTTCGGTTTTCATGGCATGTCAAAGCGAATGTGTCTCTGCGCTGGACTATTAAACCGGAGTGAAGGGTGTCATGGATTGACCTGCGGTCTCAATGGCCCCCAGTCTTCACAGAGCCGTTCCAGACACACGCAGGCGACAGTGTTAAGTGTCATAATTTCACTATTTTCTCAGACATAAATACAGAGACGTAAAAGTCAAAGGTCAGCCGCATAAAACTTCCCTATTTAGAGGTCAGTCGACGCGTATCGTCTGAGGAGGAGGAGGGGGGGAGAGTGGCACCTTGGAACAAGAAGGCGATTCACAGACGACAAACGTAGGAAAAAATGGCATTCGACTCTACTTCCGGCCACAAAACGAACAGAAAATTAATTGTAACACGGGACTACAAAGGTCTCCATGCGCCATAGATGAAGAATAAAACCCCAAAGTGAGGCCAGAGCTGCAGCGGAGGGCAACGCCGTTTCCCTGTTGGCAATATCCACTGTCACATACGGTTAATTGCAGCCGGCTACAAGTGTTTCTATTTAAAACTCTGGGTTTTACCGACACGCTGACACAGTGTCAGACAGTGTTTGGGGGCAGCTAATGGACGTCTGTATCAGCGTTTTCCTCCAGCACTTCATCAAAATCTGACAAACAATTAGCCGCTAGCGCATGCCAAGTACAGATGTTTGCTCTCCTCCGAGGCCTGATACCAGGAGAGCGCTCGCTGTTTGGAAGAGGTCACAGCAAGCGATAAGAAAAGGTCCTCGGAGCTTGTGGTGAAGGAACACTAGAAAGACAGCTGCACAAAAAAACGTTTTGAGAAAGTTCTGCAAAGTTCAGTAAAGTTCTAGCAATGTTTTATTCTAGTTCTCAGAATTATCTTCTTCTGAAGTTCTCTAAAGTTACTAAAAATGTTCTTTACATTTTCCAGCTGACAGTGACAATGTCCTGCCTTTGTTTATCATGAAACATTGTGGGAACATTTTACAGAAGAACATTGTCAACAGCACCACCTCCAAAACATCCTCAGAATATTGCAGGCGAAGTATTTCACCTTTGTTCACATATCAAGTTACAGGAATGCTTTACAAAAACACGTTCTGTCTTCTGATGCCTTTACAACATATTAAAAACATTTTTTGAATGTTGTTTGTAGAACATTCTCTCCTCTGTAATCATTTCACATACACTAAGTTCTTTGACCACTTGATCATCTCTTAAACATTATTAGAACTTGTAGCTAATGTTCGCTAACGTTGTGGGAACGTTTCCTGCTTGCTGGGAACGTTTCTTTCTTTGTTCAAAAAATGTTTTGAGAACATTCTGCAAAGTTTTCTTTTAGTTCCCAAAATGTTCCTCTTAAAGAAAGACATTTACTGAAAATGTTTGGTGATAACCTTACACCTTAACGTTCTCAAATCTTAACGTTACACTGAAAACACACTTCTTTTGTTATTATAAAAACGTTGTGGAACATTATAGAATGTTCTTTGAAAAAAAAAAAAAAAGTCTCACAATGTGTTCCTTCAAGAACAGCCCCAAAACATTCTCAGAACACTGGGCCAGAATGTTCCACCTTTGTTAATATATCACATTACAGGAACATTTTGCAAAAATAATCGAAGGCCTCGATAACATCTGGAAAACGTTTCTTTTAATTGTTGGTTCCTGAACGTTCCCTATTTGTTACCATGAAACATAATCTGCGTTGAAATTAAATTGCTCTTAAAACGTTCTTTAAACATTTGATTAAAACTTTTTCTTTAAAAAAAAAAAAAAAAAAAGTGAATTTGTAGGTTATGTTATCCAATGTTGTGGCAACGTTCCCTGCCAGCTGTCTGTAGATGTGGATTTAGATTTTGAACGGTTGATTTTTTGCTATTTTTGTGTGTCAGAAAGTAAGTTCTTCTGCATTATTGAGACAATGCAGTCTCCAATTATCTGCTGCTGCATAATGATGAAAGGAAATAGTGA